AAATTATTGTGAACAAATAAATAGAAAACAATAGAATAAAATAAAATATTGCATTATAAATACTAAAATAAAACTTTTTTATTTTAGATGTGTTCTATTGTAATTTTATTGAATTGTTAATAAAAATAAATACAAATAAAATGATTGTGAACAATTAATCAAAATAAAATATGATATTATAAATAATAAAAATATTTTTTTATTTTATAATGTTTTAGATTTTGCTCTATTTTGATTAATCCAAAAAAATTAAAATGATTGTAAATTAATTATTAAAATTATTATAAATATTAAATAATTTTTTAATGACATATTTTATATTTTAATGAATCGATCATATTTATGTATTTATTGCAATTAAAAGCAAGAACATTAAAATTCTTAAATTCATAATGTCCTCAAAATCAAGGACTTATTTAAAGCCTCCACTTAAAAAAAATCTAATAAAACGAAATTAAATACAGAAATTTATAAGACCACATCAAACTAATAAATACAGTATAATCATAACAGAAACAACTATCAAAACCCAGAGATGGGTAAATATCATGTAAATGTAAAGGTGAACTTGTTTTTTATAAAGTAAATAGTCTGTTTTGATTTTAATGTGGACTTTCTGGATCTATTCCTCACACAAATCGATCATATGGCATCTTGAGACTCATACTAGTTTTGTAGCTTGTTTTCCTTCATTGTGAAGATGCTATAAAAATACTTTTTTTGTGAAACAGAAGAACGTGACGTGGTTGGAACGAGCTGAGCGAGTAAAGGATGACAGCATATTGATTTCTAGATGATCTTTTGCAGACGCTTGTCGTGCAGTTGTTTTGTTTTGGACGTGCCTCTGAAATAGAAATAGCAGGGTTTTGTTCACAGGAACAGGACAAACGAATGCTTCAAATGACTTCAACAAACCTATAAAACCTCACTGAACTTGACCTTTACATGCCGTAAGCCGCTAATCGTAGTATTGTTACGTCTCTCAGACTCGAGTTCATGCAACTTTGAGTCTGAATTCGAGAGACAGTGCTGTTTTTTATTTATATACTCTTAGAGTATTTTTTATATATGTTTTGAATGACCATTTATATTTAGATTCGCTTTCAATTTCAACAAGTTTAGGTTTTAGTAATTTTGTTTTGTGTTTTTGTCTTTTTTATATATATATATTTCAATTTAGCAAATTAATTTTAATAAAAATTTTAGTTTTAGCAATTTTTGTACTTCGACTTAATCTTAAATGTAAATTAGAGATGTTGCCTTAAATGTTTAAGTTGAAGTACAAAAATTGCTAAAACTAAAACATTAATGTTAGATGAAAAAAAATTTTCAGCTAATTTCTTATTTTATTTTAGTTTAGTTTAGTACTTCAGTATAAACGTTTTTAATTTTCATTTAAGTTGAAGTACTAAAATTACTAAATTGAACAAAAATAAACTTCACAACTTTAATTTACTTCATTTTTATTTCAGTTTTAGTTTGAATAATTTTAGTACTTAAACTTAAATTAGAAATCTTACCTTGGAAATTTAAATGTGGAAGTTTAGTTATTATAAATTATTTATTTTATTTTGCTATTACTTATATACTGTTAAAGTATTTTATGTTTTGAATTAATATTAATTGTTCTATTTTCAGTTTTTTATTTAATTTTATTTGAAGTTTTAATGATTTTGTTTTGTGCTTTAGTCATTTTATTTAGCTTTAATTTATTTGATTTCATTTTTAGTTTTAATAATTTTAGTGCTTTGACTTAAACTTATTTCAGTTTTTTATATACTCTTAGAGTATTTTTTATATATGTTTTGAATGACCATTTATATTTAGATTCGCTTTCAATTTCAACAAGTTTAGGTTTTAGTAATTTTGTTTTGTGTTTTTGTCTTTTTTATATATATATATTTCAATTTAGCAAATTAATTTTAATAAAAATTTTAGTTTTAGCAATTTTTGTACTTCGACTTAATCTTAAATGTAAATTAGAGATGTTGCCTTAAATGTTTAAGTTGAAGTACAAAAATTGCTAAAACTAAAACATTAATGTTAGATGAAAAAAAATTTTCAGCTAATTTCTTATTTTATTTTAGTTTAGTTTAGTACTTCAGTATAAACGTTTTTAATTTTCATTTAAGTTGAAGTACTAAAATTACTAAATTGAACAAAAATAAACTTCACAACTTTAATTTACTTCATTTTTATTTCAGTTTTAGTTTGAATAATTTTAGTACTTAAACTTAAATTAGAAATCTTACCTTGGAAATTTAAATGTGGAAGTTTAGTTATTATAAATTATTTATTTTATTTTGCTATTACTTATATACTGTTAAAGTATTTTATGTTTTGAATTAATATTAATTGTTCTATTTTCAGTTTTCGATTTAATTTTATTTTAAGTTTTAATGATTTTGTTTTATGCTTTAGTCATTAGTTTTTGTTTGTCAAATATTTCTATTTAGCTTTAATTTATTTGATTTCATTTTTAGTTTTAATAATTTTAGTGCTTTAACTTAAACTTATTTCAGTTTTCAAGTTTTCAGTTTCAGTTTTTTTTATTTTACTGGTATTCCTATACTGTTATAGTATTTTTGTTTTTAATTACCATTTATTTTTATATTTTCAGTCTTCATTAAAATTTTTGTTTGTTTTAGTAATTTTGTTTTGTGCTTTTGTCATTTTTCTCTTTTTTCCAATTTCTTTTTAAATTAACATTTATTTTTATATTTTCAGTTCTTATTTTAATTTGTTTATATTTTCAGTTTTCATTTTAATTTAAGTTTAAGTTTTAATAATTTTGTTTTGTGGTTTTGCCATTTTTTTTTTTCAATATTTCTATTTAGCCTTAATCTATTTGTATTTCAGTTAAAGTTTTGATCATTTTAGTACTTAAACTTATTTCAGTTTATGTTCAGGCAACATTTCTAACTTTAGGTTTATCATGTAATATTTTTATTTTTATTTATTTTGCTATAATTTATATACTGTTATAGTATTGTTGTGTGAATTACCGTTTGTTTTTATATTTTCAGTTTTCATTTTAATTTTAGTCTTTAAGTCTTGAGTTTTTAAGTAATTTTTTGTGCTTTTGTGATTTTTTTTAGTATTTTAGTACCAAGGCAACTTTTCTTTTCTTTTCCATTTTATTTTATTTTATTTTATTTTATTTTATTTTATTTTATTTTTCATTTCATTTCATTTCATTTATAATTTTTTTATAATTTTTAATTTTTTTAATTTGATTATTTTATTATTTTATTTTAACACTGCTGGACCGTAGTTTCGTTCTGACTGACGGTTGTGTTTGGTCTGTCCGCAGGTGGGATGTCGTGAATCCGTCGGGCGAGGCTTGTGTTGGCGGAGCGTCTGGTGCTGATGGGAGCTGCTGCAGCATCATGAGTTGCCATGACGCCGGAGGGCGTCGCCGTTACGAGGACTCGGAGTTCACGCTGCATGTGTATCCCGGCGCTCTGTCCGAGGGCACCATCTACTGCCCCGTCTCTGCGCGGAAGGTGACGTCTGCGGCGGAGGTCATCGAGCGGGTCATCGAGCGGCTGCAGCTGGACCGAGCGCGCCTCTACGTGCTCGCCGAGGTCAAGGAGTTCGGCGGAGAGGAGTGGATCCTGAACCCGTGCGACTGTCCCGTGCAGCGCATGATGCTGTGGCCGCGCATGGCGCTGGAGAACCGGTTGGCTGGCGAGGATTACCGCTTCCTCCTGCGCGAGAAGGACCTGGACGGATCCATCCGCTACGGGAACCTGCAGATGTGGCTGCGCGTGACGGAGGAGCGCCGGCGGATGGTGGAGCGCGGCCTGCTCCCGCAGCCTCCCTCGGGACAGTACGCCGACCTGTGCGCGCTGCCGGATCTAAACGAGCGGACCTTGCTGGAGAACCTGCGCGGACGCTTCCGTCAGGAGAAGATCTACACGTACGTGGGCGGGATCCTGATCGTCGTCAATCCCTTCAAGTTCCTGCCCATCTATAATCCCAAATACGTCAAGATGTACGATAACCACCGGCTGGGGAAGCTGGAGCCGCATGTTTACGCGGTGGCCGACGCGGCGTATCACGCCATGCTGCAGAGGAGGAGGAACCAGTGCATCGTGATCTCGGGGGAGAGCGGCTCGGGAAAGACGCAGAGCACCAACTTCCTGATCCACCACCTGACGGCGCTCAGCCAGAAGGGCTTCGCCAGCGGCGTGGAGCAGATCATCCTCGGAGCCGGACCCGTGCTGGAGGTAAGGACGGGCTTCAGTGCTGATAAACCGTGTTTCGGCGCCTCGTTTTGTTGCTGTGATCCGTGAATGCTGATTGGAGTGGAATGATCAGTTTATTAAAGTAGCTCACCAAGCTGCTGAAATATTGAATTTTGAACAACTTTTTGTTTGGAATTTAATAATAGGGCTGGACGATATAGCCAACATTTCTGTCTGAACTTTTTTTTTTCTTTTTTTTTGCCAAATGCATTAACAAATTGATTTTTATATTTAATTGGTATGTAGAAATAAAAATGTCATTCTTCCTTGTGTTATAATATTTAAATATCGTATATAATTAGAAGTATATGATATTTAAATATATGTGTTATATTTAATATTTATTTAATATATATGATATTTTATTAAATATTAAATACAATTATATAAATATAATTAAATATGTATAATTAAATATTACATGTGCTATATGTTTGTGTAATTGTATTATAATAATATATTGAAATATTGAAATATAATAAAAAAAAATATAGAAATGTGTGGTTGTGTGTGTGTATATTATAATTGTATTATAATAATATAGTTAAATATTTAAATATATATTTAGAAAATTTAATATTACATGTACATGTAAATATAAGACATAAATATATATTTATTTATTTAATTGTGTGTGTGTATATATATATATTCATAATCACTAAAATAAAATACAATGCAGTAAAAATCTATTTTAAAATATCAAATAAGTCATGTTTTCCACACTGTTTTCACTAAATGAAGGCCTAGAATATTTATTTTAACTTATGGTCCAATATAACTGTACATACTGAAAACCATTTTTTATTTATTTTGAAAAATTGTTTAAAAAATATTAAAAAAAATGCATAAAAACATTTGTGAAATTCAGTGTTTCCTTATTTTTGCCAGCAAAATCTTCATTACCAGATTGTGAATCTTCCCTGTTTTCTGTGCGTGCCTGAACGGATCTGCTTGTGCGAGCGTCTCGTTTTGCTTGATTTGCTCAGAAACTGTTTTCTTGTCTTACCCTGAAATCAGACTCGTCCCGGTGGTCCATCAAGCGTGCTGTTTCGTTTTTCTTCTCTTCTCGTGTGTCGTTTCTTCTCTCTCTTCATTCTGAGGGTGAGAGTGAGACGCTCAATTCAGGCCGCATATCTAAACGCACAGCGGATGAACGTCACAGGACTGAAGTTTGGGCCTGAAAGTGTCTGACGAGCTTCTCTTTTGGATATGAAGCGATGGGTTGTTTGGACAGACTGCTGTATTTCGTGCATATGTTGGTATGAAGTGCTTGAGTGTTTGTTGGCTGAGGCTCAGATCCTGCTGTTTGGACGACATAAATAAGAGTGAAAACTGCAGAAAATGTGCTGTTCTATGTCTCTGTTTATGCAGCATGTTGCTTTAAACACGGAAATAGAAACATTGGCTCGTCGTACAGTTATGACAAGTATTTCAGCACACAGATGAGAACGCTTTTGTTTGTGTTTCTGTGTGTGTGTGTGTGTGTGTGTGTGTGTGAGTGTGTGTATAAATAAGAGTGAAAACTGCAGAAAATATGCTGTTTATGCAGCATGTTGCTTTAAACACGGAAATAGAAACATTGGCTCGTCGTACAGTTATGACAAGTATTTCAGCACACAGATGAGAACGCTTTTGTTTGTGTTTCTGTGTGTGTGTGTGTGTGTGTGTGTGTGAGTGTGAGAGTGTGTGTGTCTGTGTGAGTGTGAGAGTGTGTGTGTCTGTGTGAGTGTGAGAGTGTGTGTGTCTGTGTGAGTGTGAGAGTGTGTGTGTCTGTGTGAGTGTGAGAGTGTGTGTGTCTGTGTGAGTGTGAGAGTGTGTGTGTCTGTGTGAGTGTGAGAGTGTGTGTGTCTGTGTGAGTGTGAGAGTGTGTGTGTCTGTGTGAGTGTGAGAGTGTGTGTGTCTGTGTGAGTGTGAGAGTGTGTGTGTCTGTGTGAGTGTGAGAGTGTGTGTGTCTGTGTGAGTGTGAGAGTGTGTGTGTCTGTGTGAGTGTGAGAGTGTGTGTGTCTGTGTGAGTGTGAGAGTGTGTGTGTCTGTGTGAGTGTGAGAGTGTGTGTGTCTGTGTGAGTGTGAGAGTGTGTGTGTCTGTGTGAGTGTGAGAGTGTGTGTGTCTGTGTGAGTGTGAGAGTGTGTGTGTCTGTGTGAGTGTGAGAGTGTGTGTGTCTGTGTGAGTGTGAGAGTGTGTGTGTCTGTGTGAGTGTGAGAGTGTGTGTGTCTGTGTGAGTGTGAGAGTGTGTGTGTCTGTGTGAGTGTGAGAGTGTGTGTGTCTGTGTGAGTGTGAGAGTGTGTGTGTCTGTGTGAGTGTGAGAGTGTGTGTGTCTGTGTGAGTGTGAGAGTGTGTGTGTCTGTGTGTGTGTGTGTCTGTGTGTCTGTGTGTGAGTGTGAGTGTGAGTGTGAGAGTGAGTGTGTGTGTGTGTTTGTGTTTGTGTTCTCATTAGCAGTATTTCTCTTTCAGATCAACTGCTGTTGTGGCGGAGCAACATTTGGAAGATAACTTTTCTGAGCATGTTAGTTAAAGTTAGTTAAACTGTTTGGATTTGGTTGACATTTGAAGGAAACACTAGTGGAAAATCTTTACAGCGTGTCTGCATCGGCATTTGTGTATCAAAACAAGCAAATAAATCAAATAAATAAATAATACAAAATTTGATTAAAATAAATAATGAAAATTCAATTTAAATAAATATGTAGATTAAAATAATCAATAAAAAAATAAAATAAATTAAATTTGATTTAAATAAATAAACAAACAGATAAATAAATAAAAATAAGTAAACAATCAAGTTAGATAAAACAAATAAATAAAAATGATATATTAATAAATACATAAATAATACAATATTAAAATTGAGTAAAATAATTACAATTAATTCAAATAAATAAATAAATAAATAAAAATATGTAAGCTATAAAATAATTAAATAAATCAGACAAATAAATAATACAAAATAACTAGATTAAAATAAATAATAAAAATTAGATAATAAAAAATAGATAAATAATTGAATTAAAATAAGTAAACAATAAAATAAAATGTAAATAAATAAATATGAGATTAAACCGCATGATTGAGTGAATAAATTAATAAATAAATAGTACAGTACTACAGTGAGTAAAAAAACTTAATAGAAACTAAATATTTTCCAAATAATGTTTTCAATTGGCATAGTACATAGTATATCAAATTAAATTAGTATAAATTGTGTCTTTATGCATGAAAATAGTTGCCTTTTACATTTTAGGATAGGAGTTCTTGGCACGAGAATTGTCATATATGTGGGTCTTTGACATCTATTAGATTAAAAACTCTTGACCTGTATGAAGAACAAAAGAGGAGCACAAACACACACGTTTATCTAAATGAGGACGTATCATAAACGCTTTAGTTTTGAAATAAATCTTTAATTATAATGAGACCAACTCAGGCCAATCAAAAGAAAACTTCTACTTTATGAATCGTTTATATCTTTGAGTTTGTCCCCTAAGAGCCGATGACATCATCATGCGTCATGTGACAGAGATTTTCCATTAGTGCTTTAATACGGGCCGCAGGGACATTAATGATCGACCGGCTTTTACAGGAATCCGACCACAGCTGTTGGGGATTCGTCATCTGATGCGCATTTGAACCGTTCGTTAGAATGATTCTTTAAAAGAATCATTCATAGGAGTCATTCTGAATCGGACTGCACTGCTTGCGCTGTTTGTTTATTGCATTATTTGGTGTTTCTTTCTCGTCACGTTCGTTTTGTGCTGCAGACTTGTGTAAAATATGAGTTTTGCCTTGAGAATGATTCAGTCCGTCTGTGTCTGTCTGTCGTCATGCAGTGTGCGTGAATGTTGTCGACTCAGCAGGTTTGATCACACATGTGGCTGATGCAAACCGCAAGACTGAAGACAGACGGACGCGGAATATTTTACAATTCTTGCACAATGCAAGCAGTTAAAGCTCCAGAACTGCAGTAAAGGGGGTGGTAGCTGTGAAACATCTGACTTCAGTGGTCTGCGTGTGTTTTCATTTGTAAATGTTGTGCTAAACTACATGTATTTTTGGATCAGGTCAGATAACCGATTGATTTTGAGGGAATGCGTGTGGTAGATGTGTGAAATCAGGCGGTTGAACTGTTCCTGGTAGCTGAAAGCTTCATTACGTGAGCTGAAGTGTTTAGTAAACGAACACGCACGGGTCGGGGACTGTGCAGACGTTTATAAATGATGCCGTTCTAGTTGTGGAGAATTCAGCAGAGCTCAGTGCAGATTCCTCATCAGCCTTTAAAGACGAGTTCTTTATGTTTATACGGTTAAAGCCTCATGCAGAATGCCATTTTTCCATTGGAAGTACCATGATTTTTTATTTATTTTTTGCATGTTATTGATATGTAACATGGAAATATATATATATTTTTTTTGTTAGTTTATGTTTTAATACCTTGGAGTGCGATGTAAATAGTGTATAAGTGTGATAGTCATTCTGTACCATTACTTTTTGTCTGCAAATTTAAATTTTTGCTTCCTTATCATTATTATTAATATCAAGCATTTGAGTACTGCCTAACTAGTTTAGATTTTTTGTTTCAAATGGTATATTTTATAGTATTTTATTATACTAATATTATTAAAATATAATAATATTATGCTATGATAAATTATAGTAGAATGGGAATAATATAATATTTTAATATTTAAATTTACATTTAATCATTTAGCATACGCTTTTATCCAAAGCGACTTACAAATGAGTTGAACAATAGAAGCAATCAGATCAACGAGAGAACAACAGTATACAAGTGCTGTGACAAGTCTCAGTTAATCTAGCACAGTACACATAGCAAGGTTTTTTTTAATAGAACAGAATAGAATAGAATAGAATAGAATAGAAAAGAATAGAATAGAATAGGTAAGTGCTAGTATTAGTTCGTGAGGTGCTGGCGAAAAAAATGTCGGGAGGTCATTCCAGCAGCTGGACACAGTCCAGGAAAAGA